CCGCGCACGACATTCCACGGTAGGAGCGCGTGGTCGACACGAGGCCTAACGAGCGGCGCGACCCGAAGCGAGGACCACCTGATCGAGGCAACTTACGATCGAGCTGGCGTGGTTTCTGCAGTCCTTGCTATTTCTGTGGTCGCTGGCGATGTGCCAGAGCACATCGCCAGCGAGTGCAACCACACACCGGGTTAGGAGCAAATGCGTGGTTCGGGAAACGGACAGCGCCTCCGGTGATCTACATCGGGCCCTGCGCGGTGATCAGTACTTCCACTGATACGTTTGAATCACTGGCACCCTCAGTCTGTCGAGCAGGTGATGAGTGGACTCGCCCACACCGCTTATCGAGTTAACGATAGCTCGAAAGAAGTTCGTAGCACTTTTGGATACTGGGGCAAGCGCTTATTTGTACGGTGATGACGTGTTGTGCCATGTCCGCAAGAACAATATCCGCTTGAGAAAAAGCAATGCCATCTTTCGCCTTGCTATGGACAGAGCACAATCGAGCGGCGCAGCTAGGCTAGTGATCTGCTGGGAAAAACGCGTGAGGTCACAACATTATGTGCATCTTCCTGGGCTGTCTATGTCTCTAATTCTGGGTTGAGATTTCTTCGCCAAGTCGGGTATTGTCGTTGATATTGCAAACGGCAATTACCAAGCAGGATGGAGACAAGCTAAAGCTGTTTTCGAAGGCCCCTGCATTGACAAAGACGTGCCAATGGCAGGGAGAGGCACGAGAACACGAGAAGGAAAGTGTACCGAGAAAGAGACTAACCACCCCACCGGAACAGTGTGCTGCGCTACAGGGAAGGTCAGTGCACCCGTTTTTGGTGGAGGCACAGACCCTGCCAGAAGAGGAAAAAGCGCAGCTGTCGTCCCTGTTGTACGAGTACGACGCGATATTCACCGACCACCCCGGCTGCACTATGCTGGTCAAACACAGAATTGACAGGAGTGATGCACGACCCTGGGAATGCGATCTCAGACCGATCAGCCCGGCTAAGCAGGAAGCACTTGATGCCGCCTTGGATGAACTCATACATGCAGGCGTAGTTCAGAGGTCAGACAGCCTATGGGGTTTCCCGATAGTTTTCGTTCTAAAACAAAACACTACATATTGCCTTTGTGTAGACTACCGCAGGCTTAATGGGGTAACAAAAAAGGACGCATGCCCTCTTCTCTCCATTTCTTCGCTAGTAACCAACCTAGGCGAGGCGAAGTACTTCACTACACTCGAAGCTAGCCGTGGATATTTTCAAATTGAGATGAACGAGCGGGATAAAAAAAAAATCGGCTTTCACATACCACAGAGAACTTTTTCAATTCAAGGAAATGTCTTTTGGCTTGGTGAAAGCTCCCGCTACGTATCAGAGGCTAATGAGCTTCTGGGAGACGCAAATAGGCAGCAGGCACTCTCATATCTAGACGACTAGTGGTTTACTTGAAAACGTTCGAAGACCACTTGCGCCACTAGAGCGACGTTCTAGAAAGGCTGAGGTCTGCGGGCATCACTCTGCACACAAAGCTCAGATAGCCACGGCCTAAATAACATTATTGGGATTCATGGTAGACGAGGGTCGCATTTTGCCAGATAAGGGTAAGCTTGAAGCAATAGTCAGCTATGGAAAGCCGAACAACATCGGTGAGCTGAGGCGCTTTCTGGGGATGGTGAACTTTTATTGCCAGTTGTAGTGACCTCGCTACTCACCGTAGCGGATGATCACCGCAGCTTCCCGCTTAGCGAGCCACAGGGTCGCGACTCCGCCACCTACTCGCGTGAAGCGCACCACTCCATGCGGGCTCTACTAACAAGACGTTTAGTGCGGCGCAGTGAAACAGACAGTATTCGAATAACAGAAATACACAAACACTTTATTGCCTTTGGCGGCACCCCAAAAAACAATGCATCGTCCGTTCCCAGGACGTGGAGAGCAAAGGCTCTCGCACGCGGACGTTAACGATATGGGAAAACCGCGAGCACGTCGCAGTTAGAGATGGTGAGCTTTGACACGCCGGTCAGCACAAGGTCCCTTGCGGCTATGCTGCGCACTCTCACGATGACCACTGGGCCTGGTCGTGAGAGTTGGGGCAAACCTTGGATGCGTAGGCCTACGGCAAGTGCGGCTTGACGTGGTGCAACCATGTCAAGCACTAGGGACCGCTCTTGGCTTAGCATACGGTACCGAAGACTCAAGTAAACACGCCTGCCGGGACGCCAAGGCCCCAAGGCAGGCTACAGTTTGGCGATTCCCAAAGGGGGCGCAGACGAAAGAAACACGTGCTTACCCGGCGCCGACCAACGGAGGAGAGACCTCTTTCGGCGCGCATGTGACTTGGCCTCCTGATTTTCGCAACCCCCAAGAACACGTGCTGCGCCCGCGCGTGGCGCCATCTATCGCCACGAGCCACTACAAGAGCATGAAAAGGGAACGGGTGTACGGCGGAATGCCCGAGAAATGGTCGGGGGCCAACTCAGATCCCCACACAGTTCATTCCAGACTGCGCGGCTGTGCAGGCACCTTTGGCGAAGCTCGTGAGGAATGGGGAGCGTTGGGCCTGGAGCCAAGAGAAAGAGGCCGCACTGCGTCGCCTCACGAAGTTGTTGGCCAACACGGCCGAGCTGCAGCTACCCGATCTGAACAGGGAGTTTGTGATTCACACAGATACAAGCGACCTGGGCTTAGGCGCAATTCTGCTTGTATGCACCTTCTTCTCTGAACCTGGGGAGATCTGCCGAATTCGATGGAGACCGTCCACGCGGATTGCAGTGGAGTGCCAGTGGTGACATCAGCACACGCTGAATACACAACGCAGCTGGAAGTAGAACCTTTACATAAAGCTTGGCATAATCTTAGCACTGCTAGGGCACAGCAGAAGGCGCAGTAAGACTGCACGCATCGGAATGTATACTGCGAAGTGGCCGATCTGGTGCTGCAGCGCCTTTATGTTTTCAGCGATGCTAGCAAACAGTTTTCTGGCTCACTGGCACCGAAATGGTCAGCGCCGTATCGAGTGCGAGAGAAAGTTTCCTCTCCCGCTCGTGAACATGAAAGGCAAACCGAGCGGCGGACCAATGCATATATGCGACTTGAAACGCTATGTGTCAAGAGAGGAGCACGCTCGACACCGAGTGAGGAGCCCAGGACCGCGTTACTTCCTGCATCACAGGCGGAGACAACTCTCCACGGCAGGTCGTGTTTGATATGTTCTTCGCGAGGCGCAAAGGTTCGCGCGCAACACATGTGCGATAGTTAACCTGTTTTTTTTTTTTTCCGTGTCGACTTTCACCGAGCAGATGGAGAGTCAAAAGGAAGAGAGGTAGCTCGGAGAAGGAACCGCTCCTTTCGCCGGATGACCCCCAACACCATCCATGTCAGCATCGCAGCCCCACTCAACCAAGCAGCGCCACTTCCAACCCACCTTATCGCCCTCATCGTTGGGCCTTCACGCAAGAGGCCCCAGGGTGACCAACCACCAGACCAGCCGGGAGAGCCAGCTGCCTCGGAGCCGTTGTCAACAAGGAGCCTACCTAGCCGACCCATGGTTGTTCGGGCACCCTTCTGGTCTCTGCTGCCATGGCACGGCACTTCAAAAATGAGACTCCCGAGCCCGCCAGACCAGGGGAGCCGTGACCCGATGCAGCAGCCCATACCATGCTGGAGAGGGCAGCCTGGGGCCAGTGCTGAACAACACCAGTCACCAACTGGCTACCCCCAGTCGCCACCAACGACCTGAGTAGCAGGGGTCAACGTGGCCCGGTCCGGACCAGAGTACTACCGGAGCCGGATCCACTGTGGCAGTAATGGCAGCGAAAGCGACAGCAGTGGCACTAACGACGGCGGAGGTGACAGCTATGTGGCGATGACTGTCCATGATGAAAATGGAAACGGCAGCAGTGGTGGTAGCTACTTTCGATGCAGTGACAAGTGGGGGCACCAGTGTCCGAGGGCCAACCGGGCATGGATTGGGACCCCTTGTCCTAGCCTTTCTCGATGATGAATAACAAAATATTCTCATGGTTCAGTCTTTGTCGTTCGGGGGGGGGGGGGGGGGGCTTCTTAAGGGGGGCAGGATGTGGGGGAGCACGTGCACCCAGTCACCCTTTCCCTATTATAAATTTGATTGATGTGTGGAGTTTAACGTCCCAAAACCACCATATGATTATGAGAGACCCCGTAGTGGAGGGCTCCGGAAATTTGGACCACCTGGGGTTCGTTAACGTGCACCCAAATCTGAGCACACAGGCCTACATCATTTCCGCCTCCATCGGAAATGCAGCCGCCGCAGCCGGGATTTGAACCCGCGACCTGCAGGTCAGCAGCTGAGTACCTTAGCCACTAGACTACCGCGGCGGGGCAGTAGCAAGGACCTGACTGTTTCTTCGAGACACAAGTCACTAAAGCCTCTTGCGAAGGGATGGAACACCCCCACGGCCAGCGCTCGCGATCCCCTATTCCCGGTGCATATAACGGGTTTCCCTTCCCTCAGCGAGAGAACGTATTCTCGTCAAAGAAGAGAAACCGGAACGGAGAAAAAAACTGGCGTGCCGACTGGCGGACGCTCTCTCTAACACTGGCCACAAAAAAAGGTCGAACTCGGAACCCCCCTGCGAGCCAAGGACGAGTATGACTGAGCTTTAAGCGTCAACACCTCAGTCTCTACGTGACATTTTCGCGCTATCGCTAACGCATAGCAATAAAGTGTTGTTGTTGACATAGCCTGTTGTCTTATAAGCCTGAACCCGTGTAGCTGCAATGAGACAAGCTGCGGAAAGGGGACGTTAATCATGCACGGTACGACTTTGTGCTGCTGGAACATTAGCTATAGGCTTCTGCGTGAGCTGTACATAGGACGGACTCCCTAGAACATAGAGCTAGGCTGAGTTTACTTTCATAAAAAGTCTCTTGTTAATCAAACATTGACGAATTATCAGACCACACAGGTTGATATTCTATATACATCACATTAACAGAAACATGTCTGAAACTAGAGGCACGTGATGGAATTTCATTTTTTCTTTATTTTTGCAAACCTTAAAACTCAATGTACAAAACTCCACCCACTCACTTTGTTACCCTTCACTGTGCTACTTGCAGTTCAGTACAAAAAGTCAGTAGTGGCTATATTGACAATGTCCATGACAGTTTTCACCAATAATGAATCCTACATGGTGTCTATGCAAAGTACTAGGAAGGATAAAGGCCCTGGAGACTAAGCACATCTCATAAAAACACATGAGCTTTAAAGACAATCCTGGTGTTTCATGCGTCCTTACAGAATGCTGCGCAGGGCAGTCATTCAAAACACACTAATAGCTTCGTGATGAATAATATGGTGATTCACTGTACAACATTGGCATCTATACAAATGGGTTCTCGGATGAGTGGTGATGATTGTATCACAGCCACGGATGCCAGGCTGGGTCCATGCGACAGAGGTTGTCATGGCTGTTGGCTGCCGCCACCAGAGTGCTCACTTTACTGTCAGCACCATCAAATGTGGCCAATGCTGCAAAAAAAAAAAAAAAAGAACAAAATATTTCTGGCCGCTAATGTGAAACAACGAACATATATAACTAGTCTCTAGCATCATTAATTCTCCACATAGGTTTATTTAGAGAACATGATGCTTCAAATTTTATTAAATTTCACTTGTGCATTTCCCAATGTGGTGCTTAGAACGAACACTAGAAAACATACTAATGGAATTACATAGAGGCAACGCATTTTTTAAACTAACATTTATTTGAAAGGAATGTACATATAAATACATAACAAAGGACCAAAGAAAAATATAAAAAAAAGCTCGGAAGTTAGAAGAAAAGGGTCTATAAAGCCAAAGATGTGCATGCTTGGAAAAGAATAACACGTCAGCTTTGTGCCGTGGTACTGCTCCCATTCCTACGTCGCAGCAGAAAAGAAAGTCTTGTCGGAATGGTGCTTCGATGGCATACCTCGCCAAGCCGTGCGATTTCCTTAATATTCTCCTTCACCTGTTGATTCTGGCTGCATGCAAGGACCGCAATGCCTACACTCGCAATGTCACACGTGGATGCCAGGGTGCCCCAATAACTTAGTTTAGACGCTCTCTTTTGTGGTGCTCACGAAGCCTATTGTTCAAACACATCCCGTCTGGCCTCCCACCTCGCATCAGAGGGATAGCGTTAACAATATATAACACATGGCACAATACTGAGCCTCCATGGTCTGTGCTGCAGCCTCTTTTCTCGTTGATTCAAGAGGTCCATCTGCAAAGGCTGGAAAGCCTTTTGGGGGCCGAAAAAGCCACCCGTTCTCCCGGTGCTTTCTCCTATTTTCTTGAACCAGTGCGAGGCACCGCTGCACCTTCAGTCTGGCTCTGTGCTCCTTTTTATGCCTGGGTTCTCTCACACCCCTAAGCATGATGGACCTCTCGGATGAACGAGAAAGGAGGTTCCATCTCAGACCATAGGCTCAAGTTGGTGCCATGTGTTGAAGGCATCGTTTACACTATCTCTCCGACATGCAGTAGGAGGTATGTAGGCCAGGCGGAATGCTATCTGAACGATAAGCTTTGTAAGCACCACAACAGCGTCCAAACTACGGTGTCAGGGCACCTTGGCATCCTTGTGCCAGATTGTGAGTGTAACCCAAACTTTGAAGGCACTGTGGTCCTCGCATGCAGCCCAGATCAAAGGACGAGGGAGATTATTGAGGCTGAAGAAATCTTATTATTCGAAGATGCAGAGGTAAGCATGCTCTCTATTTTATGGTATTCATTTTTATGGTATTATTGTTGTTACGGATAAGACGCGACGCCGTATCGACGAGACTGTGGATGAGATGTACTTAAAACCAGCAGTACAGTACGTGAAACCTCGTTAAACCGTACCCCTTGTAAACAGTAGTTTCGTTTCAAAAGTAGTGAAGTCAAATCTCCGACTCGGCAGCCATTGAACATAATGCATTTTGTATCCGCATAAGCCGCACCAGCTTATCGCGTATGTATGGGTTAATAACTAGTCTTTCCAATTTTCATTGCGCACTCGCCGCGGCATGTCGTCCTCCACAGGGCGTCCTGACAGAACAGCAAGCCCCAGAGATCGAAACACGCCTCGCTTGTTTGTGTTGATGATGATGGCGGCTGTGTTGGTGAGCGCCATCTCTAGGATTTTTCTGCAACGAGAAGCACTCGGCCTGCTAGGCTTCTGGTGTTGTCCACGCGATGGCGCTTTGCGCAAACACGGTGTGCACTTGCTTTGCTTTCTGTGTTCCTTTGGCGCCGTGCATAGGTGTTCTCTGGTTGATCCGCGCCGTACAACTCTCGCGTCGTTTTTCACATGTTGTGTATGTGTGCTTGTGCTGCTTCGTACTTGCGTCATGCCGAAGCTGGGACAAAAGCATTGAGTGCTGAAAATAGAGGAGAAATTGGACATATTTCGTGCTATTAAACGTAGCACAAAAAAATCGGCGCTGGCATGCGAAAAGGACCTGCTGTTAACCACGGTGTGTGTAATTTGGAATTCCAGAGAGAAGTTGCTCGGCAGTGCTGCTGCAACTGCCAAATGATAGTGATGAGGACGACATGGGAAGCGACAACACGGGTGAACCAGGTCCGACAGTGCCCGAAGCTGCGCATTGCGTCAGCATCATGCGGGTATTTGTCGAGAAGAGGGGGCTGGCGGAAAAGCTGGCTCACTGCATAAGTTAGTTTGAGGCCACTGTCGTTGCTGCTAGGCCCCCGCGTCGTGAAGTGAAGATTACAGACTTTGTCACGCGAAGTTAATAAATTGCTGCGCGTTTTTTGTTCTTTCATCACACTCCCTGAAGATTTCTTTTTTTGACAGGTAAGCGTTTTTTGTTCTTTCATCACACTCCCTGAAGATTTCTTTTTTTGACATGTAAGTGAGCGACCTGACGCTATTTCGGTTAAGCAGTACTACCAATTAGTACGTACTTTTTCCAAGCTCCGGCCAACTATGGTTTATTGAGGTTTCACTGTAATGATGTGACCGGTTCACCAGCGAACGAGCGGAGACCACCCTTCGTCCTCTTCGTCAGGCACACACGCGCATAGTCCCACAAAATGTCCACATGCATGTAGCATAATCCCTGGCGGCAAAAGCGCCGTCTCGGCGCATCTAGATGTCAACATCAGTGGGAGAGTGGTAAGGCTTTAAGCGTGCCACATGTACGATATCGGTGGTCTGTGAGGCAGTTGAAGCGATGGGGCAGCAGGGGCAATTTCGTATGTCACAGGAGTAATTTCGCAAAGGACTCGATATGGACCTGTGTAGCGGGAAAAAAGTTTTTCCGACAAGCCAACTTTACAGGTCGGGTACAAACGCCGCTGGTACTCTTGAGAGGCCAGAAAACGAGTGAGGGCAATTTCGCGTGTGTGTGCAGCCCAAGTGATAGCGTCAAGGGCATATTCACTGGTCGGTGTCGTGGTAGACGAAATAACTGTATCTAGGGGTTGTGTAAGTTCTCGGCCGAACAACAAAAAAATAGGGAATAAGCGCAGTGTTATGGCGAGAAGAATTGTAGGCAAATGTGACGTACGGCAACGCGAGACCCCAGTCGGTGTGGTTGGTAGAAACATACTTAGCGAGCATCTCTGTAAGAGTTCGATTTAGACGCTCCATGAGTCCATTGGTTTGCGAGTTGTATGACGTAGTCAGCTTGTGTTTTGTTTGACAAGACTGCAAGATGTCAGCTATGACCTTTGACAAAAAGGTGCGACCACGGTCTGTAAGCAACTGCCGTGGGGCTCGGTGTAGCAAAATCACGTCCTTGAGGAGGAAGTCGGCGACATCTGTGGTGCAGCTTGTTGGAAGAGCTTGTGTGATGGCATAACGCATGGCGTAGTCGGTGGCCACGGCTATCCACTTGTTACCCGAGGAAGACAAGGGGAAAGGGCCAAGTAGGTCCAAGCCAACGCGAAAGAACGGTTCTGACAAAATGTCAAGTGGTTGAAGGCATCCAGCGGGAAGTGTGGATGATGTTTTGCGGCGCTAGCATTTCTCACAAGCCGCAACGTATCTTCTGACTGAGCGTGCAAGCCCTGGCCAAAAGAAGCATCGGCGTATTCGGTTGTAAGTGCGTGACACACCAAGGTGACTAGCAGTTGGAAGGTCATGAAGTTCATGTAGAACTTCCGAGCGAAGGTGTTTCGGAATAACAAGCAGCAGGGCCGGTCCATTCGGCTCAAAACTTTGGCGGTATGATACACCATCGTGGAGCACGAATGAGTGATGGGACTGATTGGAAGATGGTGATTCGAGGCGCTCAATGATAGCACGCAAGGACGCATCATGGCGCTGCTCGTCCCCGGTGCGGGTCATTTGCGAAAGGGAAAAATCGCAAGGCTCGGTGTCGGTGTCAGGCATAGAGCTCGACTAAGAAACTGGGTAGCAGGACAGGCAGCCTGCGTCCTGATGTAGGCATCCGGACTTGTACGACCCTGTGTAGGTATACTCTTGCAGTCGCAGAGCCCAGCGCCCGAGCCGGCCAGTAGAATCTTTCAGTGACGAAATCCAACATAGCGCATGGCGGTCCGTTACAGAGAAACTCGTGCCATATGGGCGGAACTTCGTGACTGCCCAAATACGAGCAAGACATTCACGCTCTGTTATTGAATAGTTGCGCTCGGCAGCTGTGAGAAGGCAGCTAGCCTAGGCGATGACTCGGTCGTGTCCCGGCTGCGTATTTGGAATTGCTGGCTCCGCATCGCACGAAAGAGGGAAAAGAAAGAGTGCGAGGAGTACGCTAGCACCAGCGCCAGGATTGCTCGCGTGCTATTGCTTCCTCTCTGTAGGTGACGTGCATGCCTGTGGATGATGTGCAGGTGACGCACGTACAAGCCCGCGATGGAATGCGCGTAGTGTTCTTGACTGTTTCATCGCACGAAAGCACCCACAACCTGCCACCACACTCTTTCTCTACCTTTCCCTTCTGCATTTCTGCATCCCCTTTTTCCTCTCCTTGTAAGCTGAACCGTACTACCCGCTAGAGTTGCAGAAGAGTGACTGTTTTTTTATTTATTCAACCACTACATCATACGCGCCACTACTGGCGTGGTCGACGCTCACGTGCGAATTAAAGTTCGAAATTTAGATCTAACGTTCGGTCACGTGCATCGCGCTTCTGTCACACACAATACCAGTTCCAACTGCCCTTGCAGAAACGTGATTCTGACTCCCATGACAGACGTCACGACGCCAACACATCAAACGTGAAGCATGTTTCGGTCAACGACGCAGCTCCGAATGACATGGAAGCCTCGCGCACATTTACGTGTGAAATAGACTTTGGCCGGTCCATCTGACGTGAAGTGCCTCCTCGTCAACCTCTGCACGGACGGATGCGCACATGTGGCTCGCCAGCTACAGCAAAGAAACTAATAGAACGATCCACGTCGTATTAGTTGCATTGCTGCTTGCTGTCTGTGCTGAAGGCATCACAGAGGCACTTCACGTTGACAGTCGGAACCTCTGCGCTCATTGAAACCATCACCGTGCTATCGCCATCTTATCGAAATTCCCTCGCTGGCACCCTCGCCGTACGGTAGCGATCCGTCCAAGACACCGAAGGGGTGAGGGTGCTTCGGCACAATGGAACAGTCGTAAACGCTTCTCTGTGACTCCGCGACGACAGTGACTGCCGGCGTGTCTTCGGGAGATCGGCGGCTTAGCGAAAAATTCGCCCCATGTCTTTGCTTCAAATGACCACGAAGCGGGCAATCTTGGGGGAGTTAACAATGCCCTCTGCGAGGCTTTCATGGCATCTGAATAGGCAGCTCGAGCACCCGACTGAAGTCTTTTCTTCGCTACCTTATTGTGTAACCCAGACCCCGTCCCTCGTTACCACGGATTATGGCGGGGGCTGCGCTGCTTAGCCGGAGAGGGTCTATGGCAGGGCGGGGAGCATGGCTGAAAATGAGGTGCAGGTGTGCAAGTTTAGCCGGTGTCGCTGCGTCGCCAGCGCGCGCGTCACCAGCACGTCACTTCCAGAGGCGAACCAATAGCGCGCGAGCATTCCTGAGGCTGGCACTGGCGTCCTCCTCGCACTCTTTCTTTTCCCTCTTTCGTGCGATGCGGGGCCAGCAATTCCAAATACGCGTCCCGGCTGGCGTTGGGCTAGGACGGCTCCAATCCCGTGATCACTCGCATCGGTTCTGACTTCTGTCTGAGTGGACGTGTCAAAGTGGGCCAATATAGGTGGAGTCGTGAAGAGGGTGGTGAGTTGAGAAAAAACGGCAGCTTGAGCGGAGCCCCACGTAAAAGTCGCGTCTTTCTTCAGAAGGTCGGTGAGTGGTTGAGCAATCACTGCAAAATCTTTCACGAACCTTCTAAGATAGGAAAAAAAAGTCCCACAAATCTCCAAACGTCCTTGACAGACTGGGATACAGGAAAGCTTGTGACAGCACGAATTTTCTCTGGGTCAGGCTGCACAAATGATGCGTCGGCAAGGTCGCCCAACACCAAAATCTACTGGCGGCCAAAGTGACATTTCGACGAGTTAAGTTGAAGGCCAGCAGTGTGGAAGATGTCGCGAATTTCTGACAAACGCTGGAGGTGTGTCTCAAATGTAGGCAAATATATAAGGACATCATCCAGGTAGCACAGGCATGTTGACCACTTGAACCCTTGCAACAGCGAGTCCATCATACGCTCAAACGTGGCTGGGGCGTTGCATAGCCCAAACAGCATTATCTTAAACTGGTATAGGCCGTCGGGAGTTACAAACGCAGTCTTTTCTTGGTCTTTCTTGTCCACCGCAATCTGCCAACAGCCAGAACGTAGGTCAATTGGCTGTTGAGTGCGTCGGCAGCAGGATGCCCACGGCTGGACGAATACCGATGGGGGTCAGCGTATGGCCGTGGAGAAGAAGAAAATTGGCTCCAACAGTGGGGCGTCCAAGTGCTGCGGCAGTAGCGGGAGACATGGCCAACTCGGTGACAGCGGAAACAGTTTGGCTTGTCGTCTACTGTTCTCCATTCCGTCAGATTGCAGGATCGCGGAAGAAAATATGAGTCATGGCACGGTGCATTTATTGTCATCGGTCTGGAGGCAGGTTGGGAGGCAGAGCAGGCCACAGAAAAATCAAGCTTTGCAATTTCTCACCTCACTGACGGCTTGAACAACAAAGACTGCCGGAGGTGCTTGTGCGGTGCCATGGTTGAGTGGAAATGAAGGAAATGGCGCCAGACTTGATGCCTCAAGCTCCCGTCGAACTATACGTGTCACATTGTCCTGCATAAGTGGTGCAGCACTGAGATCGCTGCAGGTAGATGTAACAGCCCTGTTTGGTAGCCACGTAAATTAAGGCAGGACACGGTGGCTTTTGACCCTTTCGAAGTGGCGGCATTCTTTATTAATCACATCAACGGTCGTGACGTTATTGTACACGAGCAAGTTGAAGGCGTCGTTCGCGATGCCCCTGAGTATGTGACCCACCTTGCCACTCTCTGTCATTTGCTTGTCCACTTTCCGGCACAACACGCACACGTCCTGTTTGTACGAGACATACGACTCAGTTGAGAACTGCACACGAGTGGCGAGTTCTTTTCGTGTTTCCATTTGGCGACTGGACGGGTCCCCAAAGATGTTGCGTAGTCACTCCTTGAAGATATCCCAGTGGTGATCTCGGTCTCATGGTAGTTGAACCAAACACGTGGGATGCCGTCCAAGTAAAAGATTACGTTGGCGGAGCATCATGGTAGGGTCCCATCGGTGTGTCTGGTTAACACGCTCAAGCATACGGAGCCAGTAGTCAACAACAAGCCCTGGTTGTGCCGAGAATGTACCGGGATCACGTGGGTATGGCATCGTCAGGTATGTAGTGGCTGGAGCTATAGATGGAGACGCTCATGGGTTGTTGTCATTGGTAGCCATGGCCGGAGACTGAATGGTGCGGCCACTGCGAAGCTTCGTGGTGAGGACGGGGAACGTTCCACCTCCACCAAATATGTTAGTATTGACGAGGCTGTGGATGAGATATACTTAAAACCAGCAGTAATGGCGTGACCAGTTTACCAGCGCACAAGCAGAGACCATTCTTCGTTCTCTTGGTCACGCACACACGTGCATTGTCTCACAAAATGTCAACATGCATGTGCATGTAGCAATATTTATGACAATATATTATAGTTTTAGTTATTGCACGAAGTTGCATGGTTTTATTGCTTTTTGCTTTTCACTAACTCTGTCAAATGGTCACTGTTGCACACATTCATTTCTTATATGCCTTTATTAGTACAGTGTTAATACAACTCACTGTACACTTATTTACTTTATTTGTTGTATGCTATGTATAGTGCTGCCATAAAGGGTCTTCAGGCCCTCTCAAGCTGTTTGCATCAGCTTTTCGCCCGAAGGATCCCCAACAAATTGTAAAGAACTGTTAGAAGTTCATTGATTGATCTCTGCACCTTCCTGATCAAACGCTTTCGTTTTCAGCACAATAGAGATGGGTGCATGTATTTATATGTGTTCAGTAGGGTTGAGAGCTGGGCTAGTTGGTGAGATATCATTTTAACATATGGTGTAGTAGCACGAATTTGACAGAGATACAGAGGACAACAGGAAACACGACACTCACTTTGTGTCCCGTCGAATTCGTGCTACTACACCATATGTTAAAATTTATATGTGTGTTTTTTTAGAATAAATTTTAGTTGGAAGAATGCCCTGCGTCTACATCCTATCATGTGTCTGTTGTCTAGTGCTTGGGCTAATCACCATTATGACTGACTTGTTCCAACTCGCCCAACAAACAAGCAACAATGTCCACAATGTGAAAAGTCTGCAAGATGTTTTTCTCTTTACCATCGCAAGCACAAGGCACTACAAGCACATCCTCCGGTATACTGGATTGCAATAACTTGAATTTATGAAAATAATAAAATTTCTGATTCTGTGCTTGGCATGGGTAATCCAAATTGATAGGGTTTACACCATGTATACTGGAATTCATAAGACCTCAATGACACGTGAAGAACCACAGAACGATTTTGTATATATCCGATTCCCGAAATACTAAATGAGGAGCCACTCACTCTGAAGACGGGACATCACTGCACTGACTGCCTTGGAGACCATGCCGATGAGCAGCTCGCCATCCATGTCTTGAGGCACTGAGCCAGGTGTGAGACTGTCATCTTGCTTCTGCACACAACAGATGATTTCACCACAAAATAGGCCCACACGAGGGCGGCCAATACTACACGGTGGTAGACATACTTGCTCATCCTTTGCCCCCTTTCAGGGCAAATTATGATTGTAGACATTAAGGACCTTTTTCATTGAACTCGCAACAAAAGCAGACTGTATTCATAATGCCCTTCAAAAATGCTTCAAAAAGCATGCTGCGCGCGATGATGTACAGTCGAATTTCGATAATTCGAACTCGAAGGGGCCCACAAATTTGTTTAAGTTAAAGAAGTTTGAATTAATGAAAGCTAGGTAAACGGAGGGCTCCCCATGCAGTGGCGCAAGTGCGTTAAGCTAACGCACAAGGGGCAAGTTCAGAAGACAAACATTCATTCACAACTCACAGGACATCCGTCATTATTCGAAGTAATCGATGATGCGTTTCTGCACACGTTTGCCTTGCAGAGAGTTAATCAATTTCGCACGCAGCTTGCAAAGCATGTCTGCTATGGCTTCAGCATACTCCTGGCAAGAGAAGTTGCCGCAGCGATGACCAGCGTCGACACTCTCTTAAGACGACCGCAACAAAGACTACATCTTCGCTACTACCTTTTGCGCCAAAGCCGCAGCGTGGCCAGAACGTGACGAGAGAGGAGGAGCGTCTCCATGTGGAGAGAAGCAGATCGGCAATTTTTTTTTTTTTTTTTGCTATCATCGCGCACATCATTGAAAGGAGAAGCGTTACGTGGAACGGACAGGAAAGGGCGAAGCGTGGCACCGGCGCCTGAGAGAGAGCTCCACATCGTGACAGCTTTCTTTTTTTTCCCCCTCTGTCTCTTTGGGCACGGTGTTGGAAGGAGAAGGGTTTTTACGTGGCAGGGGCAAAAAAGGGAGAAGCGTGGCACAGGCGCATCGCAGATCGGCATTTGAGAGAGCGCAAACATTCCATGGCAGCTTTTTCTTTCCTTTTGCTTTTCTTTGCGTGCAACATTGAGGTGTCGGAGGTGCCGCCGTGGGATTGGGCGGGGTGCTGAGAGCATTTTCGGAGAGGAGTATGTTCGAATTAACCGTTGCAATTGATTGATATGTGGGGTTTAACGTCCCAAAACCACCATATAATTATGAGAGACGCCGTAGTGGAGGGCTACGGAAATTTCGACCACCTGGGGTTCTTTAACGTGCACCCAAATCTGAACACACGGGCCTACAACATTTCCGCCTCCATCGGAAATGCAGCCGCCGCAGCCGGGATCTGAACCCGCGACCTGCGGGTCAGCAGCCGAGTACCTTAGCCACTAGACTACCGCGGCGGGGCGAATTAACCGTTGCAAGTGCTTGTGCATTCAAATCACCGGGCGTTTTTGCCCATTAGGAAACACATAGCTTTGATGGGACCTCATCATGAGTTTTAATTCACCGCAAATTCGAATTAAGTGAGTTCACATTAATGAGATTCGACTGTACTTGCCATAAATGTAATCATACTTAATATATTAAGTGATGCTTCTGAAGATTTGTGATTTGGAGTAATTTTTAGAGCAGCAAGAATTTTCATTCCAGAGCTTTTTGGAGCAGGTAATTTTGTATCTTGGAGCACTTCGTAACAGCAATTTTCACTTCCTGGCATACACTGGAGAAGCTAATTGCATTTACATTTAAGCACATGAATTATTGTTATGCTCGTTCACGAAGACCTAGAAATATTCCGATTCTTTTATAAACCCATCAAGAAATAATCTCAGGAGCACGCTATATTTCACTTGATAATGCACAATAAGAACATCATGCTCTTAATAAGGGCATCATGCACTTCAGTGTTCTCAAATTATCTCTTTAGTGATTTTTGAACTAGCAAATAAACACAATACTGGATAGTGAAAATTGTACTTTATGAAATAGCACACTAAGTTTATATCTCTGCAGTTACCAGCAGAAGTGGTAGACAACCACCACATACATACAACGGTACAACAATACTGCAATGTCACACAGTCGCTAATGCATTTCCCTAGGACTACTCGAAAGCGGGAGCCAAGTTCTTTCTTTTCTCGATTAATTGTATTGCTTGGTCCAACATGACATCACTAAGCCTGACTCAGAAAGCCAAGTTTTCCAAAACACTCTTTTCCGATGGCCCTCTCTATGCTGTAGGAAGTGCCTTTTATGGTTTGTGCAGGCAATGCATGAACACCGATATAAAGAAAGATACAAGAAATAAGGTAGGTAACCCAGCTCCGCTCTTCCTTATGGCAGCACTTGTGCTAAGCTGCCATAATTTGTTTTCGTATTATACAAACACTCTTGATGGGTTTTTTGTTTCACTGTTGCCTTCTTCATCAGATTAAAGTTTAAAATGCGTGAAGTGTAAAGTGAAGTATAATGTTCGAACATTGCCCTGCCAATCACATGTCTTGTAAGAGCAGGCGAAAAATGTGGCTGAAGTGCAGATGAAAAGAAGTGACCATTTAAGGGGAGATGCCGGTCCAAAACCCGAGTTTTTTTTCAAAATTACCGATTTTTTATTTTCGCCTGTTTTGACAAGATTAGTATCTCTACTGTTATAAAATTATACAGGTCCAGACTTAACTGGAAATGCCTTAAAATTGCATCTAAAGAGCAAAAGGTACCTGTTAAAAGGTCGTAAGTGCGCACTCTTCGAGCACCTAGCCGCCGATAATGCGCCGCTGCTAGCCATTGTTGATCACATGAGTCGAAGAGTCGAGCCTCACTCTTCAAATAACAAGTTTCTCTCGCTGATGCAGAGCAAGAAATATTAAAAAAATCACTCTTCTGTGCGTTTTTCAAGTGCCGCGACTGGCTTATCACATGGTACGAATAGGGGACCGCCATTGGCCGCTGCGCGCCTGTATGTGCTGTGAAACCTATTTGTGGGGTCCATGTCTTGTTGAGCAGCGCAGCTGAACAATGCTTTTCTCGTGTAATTATCTCCATTATGAATGAAAAAAGGCATTGCTTGCAAGTGAAAGCCGTTGTGCGGCGCGCTCTGTAGGAATAGGCTACGAGCAGCTGGTCTTATTTGCGGCAGTTGTGGGCTTGCAAAAACCAATGCATCAAAAGTTATTCACACCCGTCAGCCGGAAAGTTCATGATGCGGCAATCTCAGCACCAATCTTGCGAGGTTGAAAGAGCTCGCAGTGAGAGAACTTAGCAGGGACGACATTGCCATAATGTACGATGGTATGCGGCACAAACATGGCCGCGAAATGGCATGACACTGGACTTAGTTTGGATTTCATAGTCCTGTCGAACTTCTTCCTAGCTTGCAGTTGGCACAAGGCTCTGCCAGATGAAGCGGAAGTTTGGCAAGCGTTTCATGGCCCTGTCTGTGAGCGAAATGTCTGTGAGGAGTCGGCTCAAAAAAGCCGAGAGGGACAAACTAATGAGGCTGGCGTATTTTAGTCGCAATGGCCACTACAAGAAGGTTTGTTCTTTTTGGTGTGCGAATTTCATCAGATTTAATAATATCTTTCATAAATAAAAACTCAATTTTAACTTGAAAACTCGTGTTTCTCTAAACACAAAATTTGCCATTTTTTTCAGTGTGCCCTTCCTTTTTCAGGCACTTCTAGTGCTCAGATCTGCATGAAATTTTGCCCAATGTTTTTTTCCAAAGTAGGCCAAATGCAATTATTCAGTTTGAATTTCAATATTTTATTGTATATAAAAATTATATGTAAACTTTTACTAGGGTAAGTGAAATGTGGACTTTTTACGTGTATTATTTTTCACGCGTATTACATATTTTGTATGTGCTTCCTAATAAGTTATTTGCACTCTAGACTTTATTTGAAGCATTATGAACTATGAATGGTAAAAAATACAGAATTTTAGGGATGAAAAGAGGGGGGCAAAAGGGATAAGGTTTTCACTTTGTCATGCTGCAGAGCTAAAAGTGTGTAACTTGTAAGAAAACTAATTATATATTTGAAATCAGCATAAAAAGTTTCATAAACAGCTCTAAGGTGAATATTAAAGAAAAAGTGTCTTCGAGTGGCATCTCCCCTTAAGTCGCACGGCGGGAGCATGCGATAGCATCTATCCGCACACATGCCTGCTGTCGATTGACAAACAGAAAAGAAACGCACTCGTCCTCAAGGTTTCCCTAGTTTTCCTTTTTAACTACCATATTTTGCACCGCAAAAAGAGACAAGGAGGAGGGTGGAGGCAGTCGCTATACGTCTAGACCACCGTGATAGACTGAACGCTGCCTGTGATGCGACAGCTAGCTGCGGACAGGTTACAGTCATGTTTCATTAATTTACGATCTATTATGATTACCCATTAGTATTGCCAGTTTTACACTGTTCTGAAGATATTACGGGCATTGTAAAGACAAACATAGAACAAACACATACACAAACACACACGCAAAAAAAGTCGTTGATCTCTTTGTTTAGGCATCGGTATAGCACTAAACTGAAACAGGTTTTCACAAAGGCAGTCGAGCATTTTTCGTGCTTTGTTTTGCCGCAAGGACAAAGGAATGAATTCTGCAGCAAAAAATTATAATTTCATGCAAAGAAAGGCAAGCAGCTCAAAACTTGCAGCACGTAGCTTAAGCAGAAAGCACGCACGAAACTAGTTTACGCAGGACAAGCACAGAGGATCTGTCACAGCTCGACGTTTAAAACGCACTACTCTAACAGCAAGATGCACAAAACGAATGCACAAGTATACAGAGGATGAGCGTGAGCAACTGTCACAATTGTTACTTCATCGTATAAGAGCAGCATGCTCCTTTCGTAAACACGGCCACGGCAGCCAGTGAAGTGGCCTTCCCGTTCTCCTCAATCATGAGTCTGATAAGCATTCGCGCAGGAGAGGACCATGCCCTGAGAAGGTGCGCACTCGTCAAAACGTGAGAGGCCTTCAGAGCCTGCCCAATGCGAAGCCTTTGTGCCATCTCGCTACCAACGAAATCGCGCTGTAGTTGCAAAGCTCTGAGGGTTGCCAAACAATATTAGGTGTATATAAATACCTTGCTGTTAGTGAACTTGCACATTTTGTGGTCTAGTGGTCTTGCGCTGCATGCTGAGGAGCGAGAGGTCATAGGTTGGACGCCCAGCGCCATAACTTTTTCTTCTCATTTTTTTTTTTTTTTTTAGGGGCGAAGCTTCTTATAGCGGCACCCGTTCCGTCCCTCGTAGCCATTGTAGTATGTAACAAGTATAACATTTTGACCTCCAAGGTGGTGCCGGTGAGAGATTTCTTTTGTGCGTTGTTGAACAATAAAAAATAGTACTCAATGTACATGCCAATGGCTGCTAATGGGGAATGAGAGACAGGAGCATTCGGCTTTTAGTTAACACGCACGCTGCGATACATATTAACAGCCATTGGCATGTACATTGAGCACTATCTGACAAGAAAGGGCTGCTATGTTATACTTGCTGGGTGTAACCTCCTTAGTTTTAGAAAGGTTTAGCGAGCGTTGAGCCGCAGTGCCATGAATACAATGAGCTAGTATATATCATGAACGAACTCGAGGTGATTAGAGGTGAGAAGTATATACGAAGCGCAAGCCTTACGAAAGTAAAAGCTGAATTCTCCTGTCTCTCATTTCCCATTAGCAGTCATTGGCATGTACATTGAGCACTACCTGACAGGAAAAGGTTGCTACGTTATACTCGCAGGGCGTAACCTCCTTGGTTTTAGAAAGGTTTAACGAGCGTTGGGCTGCAGTGCCATGAATACAGTGAACTAGTATATACCATAAACTCGAGGTGGTTAGGCGGGAAGTAGACCCGAAGTGCAAGTCGTAAGAAAGTGTACGTGTGCCACCTCTCGTTTAGTACTTGAAATGTCTGCTGGATGGCGGTGCTTCTATATGGGGAATATATGATAAAAATATGAGAGATGGTGGTACTTGGAGTGTTGAATAGATGGACGAATGGACACACAGACAGATGCATGGATGGACGCATGAACGGATGCAGGGGCGGATGCATGGACGAACGCAGGGACGGATGCACGAACAGACGCATGCACGGACGGGCGGATGGACGCATAGACGGTCACACAGACGGACGGAAGCAAGAACGAATGGACAGACGAATGCTTCGCCCCCCTCTCCATCATTCACTCCGTGGATATGCTGCCATTTGTTTTGTCTTTGCAACCTGTTAGTGTATAGTTTACGTCATATCTGTGATGAAAATACGTCAGTGGAGCTGTGGTGGCTCCACTGAGGTATCCGACGAGGACAACACAACACATCACAATTAACAAGCTGAGTTTCTTGGGGTGAAGCACACATTTCAAAAGGCCAAGAAAGGTGCACATCCAAATTACTTTTATTACTGGGTATACTTGAAATAGCAAGGTTTTACTGTAGCAAATCATTACTTCACTGAAGCGTTAAAACTAATAAGATTAGCATGCTAGTAATGCAGTTATTTTTCTCCTGATAACTTACGCAACCCTTACGCGTCCCTGTGTATCAGGAAAATTAGCCAGCGACAGTAGCTATGCAGCAGCCCTTTCTGAAAGGAGCTCCTCAAGCGGGCATCATGCAGTACCTTTTTGTGCCAGGCAATGAACTCGTCCCGCAGGATGGCACGAAGCAGAGCTTGTAGCTTGAAGTTGGGCTGGGCCACGCAGCGTGCTGTGGCAATCATGCCAGCTGTCATTGAGCCTGCTACACCAATGCTAGTCATAAACTCGGACAGGTTGGGCGTCAGCCGGAAAGGCACAGGCCGGTTGGCATCCAGGTCACCTGTAATACATGAAAATCGTGTCAAAGGTAGCAGTGCACGCTATATTGGATTAGCTGGTGCACCTCTACTTGAAAGATGTGGCAGCACAAAGTTACAGCAGATTGCCAAGAAAAGAAAGAAAGAATGCCTCTCCGCCTCTTCTTGGTTTTTCTCGCCTCTAACCTTACGCCAGGTCTTTCGAGTAACAGAAAATAATTGTGATGCAAAGCTTTTTTATTGGGGCACGCAACAACTTACAGTGTCTAAGTACAATTTCTCATGTTATCTAGTGAAGCACTATTTGAGAAGTAAATGATAAACAAAACAAATAAACATGTTCAAGCACTTCAGACCTACTAAACAGCCTACCCGACGAAGTACAATGATGTACACGTAGTATATTTAACGTAACAGTTGACGAACTGAATTTAAAGTAAGACCTCAAATAAAATCAACCAAGCCGGTTCGCGCATAAGCCCCACAAGAATAAATCACACGAACAAGAATGTCTTCTTTCATGCTGGCACTGATGTGCTCCGGTAAAGAGGTTAAATGACTGAGCATGCAAACACGCACACAAGAGAGAAAGTAAAGAGGAAAGAACTGCACAGGCATGCGATGCCAAGTTAATCAACACATGCGCTGATATGCCAAGACTCTTCATTCCTGTACAAAACTTAGCATTCATTGTGGAGGTGCTGACACCTCCTGTAAAGTTGTTTGCGCCGCCTCGCGCATGTGTCTGGCATAGAAGCCGTATTTTGGGGGTTACAGCTACTGAGCGATAGGTGGCGTGTTCGCGAGCGGTGATCACCACTATCATCATTATGGTTAGAAAGTGTTAGTGGCGGTGGCGACGCCTGGCCGGGATGCCTTGGTGGTGGTGCGCAAGAAATAGGCTCGTCTCTAGTGGTGTGGGGCGGTAGCGCTGACGGTTGCCTCTAACGGTGGGTCTACCATGGATGGCACCGCGGTCCGCCTGCGGTTGGCCCATGTGATGAGTCAGGTGTTAACGACACCGCCTTGGTTGTCATGTTGTTAAGTGTTGTGTAATTTTGTGTAAGGTTGTTTAGCGTGTGGATCCCAGTTGATGTTAAATAATTCGAGTGACAATATCGTTGATTAAAAAGTAGTTAAATAAATATGTGCTGTTTGGTTAGTTCCGAACGCGTCTACTATGTCCATTCACTCCAAGAGCGTGGTGAAGATCAGTATTTGCACCTTCAGACCCAACATGGGTGCCCAACGCGGGGCTTTTGGAGCATCGGACGATAGCTTTCGCGGTTCGGTACAAGGTTTTGTCAAGAGCCGGGGTAGAGTAGGCCTACAGGTACTTCTTTGCTAGAGTCAGCGGTGTGCTTTGTTGAGAGCGAGGAGATCGGTTCTTGTAACGTGGTTGAACCTGTTGGCAATGCGAGTTTTTATTTTTTTCCTGCTCGCAAGTGTTTCCTTTTTGTTGTTGTTGTTGGTTTTCAAGAATGTCATTCAGTTGGGACGAGAGCCGTGCGGTCTGCATCCTGGGGTGAACAAACCTTAGAGCACATAGATTGTAGGCTAGGCCCGAAGCAAGTGAGTACGGAAGCCTCGTGGGTGGTTCGATTTCCTGTTTATAGCCTCTACCTCTTTGGGCTCAGGGAGCCGGGCATCGTTGCTGTCTGGTATTGCGGCTTGATGCTGGGGCGTCGTGACACCATCAGAGACGGCGGACGTTGATTGCTCGGTAAGCTGCTCGGTAAGCTGCTGTGTGCGGCGAGCGATAGGGTTACCTTACAGAGTGGATGTCTCCTTGTAGCTGCCTCTTCTGCGCCTAGGCTGGGTGCTGGGTGGGTGCCGGTTGTTGTTGGGCAACTCATTAGGTCTAAGGCCCTGCGCAGCCGCCTGTCGCACGTGGGACAACTGTAGATTTGGCGTTGAGGTGTCGCACTTTGCTTCTCTAAATTTTTTTTTATTTTGCGATGCACGAGTTAGCCAAAAGTGCTCTTATTGCGATAGTAATTATAAGGACACTCTCGCCTGGATTTTGCCGTCGGCGTCGACTGTCTATGTCATGCACCGTATATGTATATGTATGTATATAGATGATAATGCAAGAAAGAAAAAAATCCTGAAAAAAGCACTCTGGCGCGCTAAATCGACAGGGGACCTCTGCGTTGTGAAAGCGAGGCGCTAATTACTGAGCCACCTCGGAAGACGTTCTTCACCATTCAAACGGCAAGCTCTTTATATCTACCACTTACCGCTGCTGTGTTTTCTGCATTACCAGAAAGATGGTGCAATGAACACACGTCGCCAATCGCGCAGTGGCACCCGATCTAATATTATACGCGTACTTTGCCCGGCTTAGAGAAAGGGAGCTACGCTCCCTCGCACGCCCTTGTTTAGCGGTGGCGTGGAGGGGAAGAACATACACCTTGGCTGGCCTTGGGCTTTACGTGGAGTGATTCTGCTGCTTACCGGGCACGCAAATGTCACTGCAATCGTTGCGGTCTCCGTTCACGAAAAGCGCGAGCTTTTAAGATTCAGCGAAGTAACAAATGAGACGCTTATTTACGTGCATCAGAACCTGTGAGTACGTTTCATGTGTAATTTGTGCGCGAGAAACGCGGGGCACATTTTGATCTGCTTCCCATTCTGCGCGTGACCTTTCAAATTGTTGCCATCGCGTTCATTGCTTCGCTTTTGCGACAAAGCTGTGCCTTTTTTGTTTTTTTTATGGGCGTCTCGGCCGCCGCCGATGTATGAGCTAGCAGTACTGACCATTGTACCACATGGGCGAGGAGCCCAAAGCTCCCTTATATTTGCTCTACTGCATTGTTCTTTTGAGTGTTTTGAATGCACGCGGCGCGAGTGATTTAACCCACAGCTGGCTGTCTTCTGCACATCTTCAGCGCCTCTGGCTAGGAATGCGGTCGTGAGGTCGAGCGATGAAGATGACCGAGACCTGCGCAACTGCCTGCGATCCGGCGTCCTTGTGAGTGTAGGTCGCAACCGGAAGACGTGTCAACGCGAGTGACGGGTCGTCGCGCTGACGGAAACGTGACTGTTGCAGGACCGGTATTGAGGTGAAGTCATCGAGCCGGACAGTGAAGAAGTGTTGACCGACGACGGTGTCGTGGTGCACAGACATCATGTAGGGACATGTGTGGTCGTTTTTTTGTTAGAGCTTGTGTAGCTGATTCTTTGTGTTTTTTTTTTTTTTCCGGGATATGGTTTGAATTAGTGTTGAGGGAATGTGGGGCTGCTGACACCCCTGTAAAGTTGTTTGCGCTGCCTGGCGCACTTGTCTCACACACGAGCCGTATTTTGGGGGTCACAACTATTGAGCGATAGGTGGCGTTGTGTTCGCGAGCGGTGATGACCACTATCATCATTATGATTAGAAAGCGTTAGTGCCGGTGGCGACGCCTGGCCGGAATGCCTTGGTGGTGGTGCGCAAGAAATAGGCTGGTCTCTTGTGGCGTGGGGCGGTAGCGCAGACGGTTGCCTCTAACGGTGGGTCTAACGTGGATGGCACCGCGGTCTGCCTGCGGTTGGCCCACGTGGTGAGTCAGGTGTTAGCGACACCGCCTTGGTTGTCAAGTTGTTGAGTGTTGTGTAATTTTGTGTAAGGTTGCTTAGCGTGTGGATCCCAGTTGGTGTTAAATATTTTGGGTGACGATATCGTCGATCAAAAAGTAGTTAAACAAATATGTGTTGTTTGGTTATTTTGGAACGCGTCTACTGTGTCCGTTCACTCCAAGAGCGCGGTGGAGATCAGTAAATCCACCTTCACATCATCGAATTTCGGCTTGCACTCTATCTAAAAATAGATTAGAAGGTGAGCCTCCATTGATATTTTGTTAACACACCTGCATGCCATTCCTAAGTGGAAGAAGCTAAGACGAACCTTATACATCAACTTGTACAGCAATGAGTGAACTTTCACGAAGCAAACATAAATCTGCTTCTGGCACACTACTTACTCATTTTTGGTTGTGCCTGCTTAAAATAACTGCTCGGGTTGATGTACCAAACAAGATACAATTATGAAGCACTCTAGATAATTCTAAAAGCAGAAGGAGAAAATCAGGACACTACGAACACTTACTAACAACTGAAGATGTGCACAACGATAAGAAATATATAAGGCACGAAAACTTATCTGTGCATGCAGGTTTAGCGAGCGTTGAGCCGCAGTGCCATGAATACAATGAACTAGTATATACCATGAACGAACTCGAGGTGATTAGAGGTACGAAGTAGATACGAAGCGCAAGCCTTATGAAAGTAAAAGCTGAATTCTCCTCTCTCTAATTTCCCATTAGCAGTCATTGGCATGTACATTGAGCACTACCTGACAGGAAAAGGTGCACAAAACGAATGCACAAGTATACAGAGGATGAGCGTGAACAACTGTCACAACTGTTACTTCATCGTATAAGAGCAGCATGCTCCTTTCGTAAACACAGCCACAGCAGCCAGTGAAGTGGCCTTCCCGTTCTCCTCAATGATGAGTCTGATAAGCATTCGCGCAGGAGAGACCATGCCCTGAGAAGGTGCGCACTCGTTAAAACGTAAGAAGACAGGTATCGCATGCCCGTTCGATATGCAAACTTATGAATCTGGCACTCGTGGGGGTGATTGTGTAAGATAACTCTTAAGATATTTGATTTCATCGTTATGTAAGTTAACCCTCGGTTGGTTCACGCAAGTGCGACAACAATTATTGATATGCCAGGCCTCAATCATCAGACTCGCTTCTTCATTCCAATGTCAGTACAAAAGTGCACATTTATTGAGCATCGGCGTGCACTTACACTCTGGACTACTTAAAGAAAGACCAGAAGGTGAGCTTCGGGTTAGAAACCTCTGGTGTTCTTTGTTTAATGCACCGACCCGTCAGAAGGGGCCACAGCTGGCAAGGACCACACTTGTATGGCAATCAGTGAATTTCTTGGTGTATTTTACAAAACAAGTATCTCAGCAGCAGCAAAGTATTTCAGCAGAGAAGCGCAAGTCACTCTGCTGAAATACATTACTA